CACATTAGGACAAAATACACCTTATCTACAGTTTTATCTCATCTGCTGGTGAAGATTCAAAGATACAGCTGGGAGTTTTTAACCAATCATAGCAGAGGTGTAAAATTGCTTCCTGCTGTGCCACCAATGGGGCCTTACGCTCAGATATACTGAGCGTTCGACTGGCAGGTCTATCTGACCCTACCAGACCCAGGCTCACTGAGATATTTTGTGTCCAGTGTGCTGTGGGTCTGGAACCCAGGCTATGTAAATGATGGATAATGAAATATCCAAGCCTTGAAGGTGCCCTACTGTACTGCACTGTACACTACGTGCCGAGAATAGCTTCATAGATTAGTAGATGTAATGACATCGCACGGGAATGTTCCTCCATTTCTTCTATAATATCAGGAGTGCCAGAGTATACAGTGCAATTTTACTAGCATTCAGTGCAATTTTACGGAATACAGTGCAATTTTACTAGTATACAGTGCGATTTTACGGAATACAGCGTAATCGTATTAGTATACAGTGCAACTTTACGGAATACACTGTAATTGTATTAGTATACAGTGCAAATTTACGGAATACAGTGCAATTTTACTAGCATACAGTGCAATTTTACGGAACACAGTGCAATTCTACTAGTATGCAGTGCAATTTTACGGAATACAGTGCAATCGTATTAGTATACAGTGCAATTTTACGGAATACAGTGCAATTTTACTAGTAATAGTATACAGTGCAATTTTACTAGTATACAGTGCAATTTTACGGAACACAGTGCAATTTTACTAGTATACAGTGCAATTTTACGGAATACAGTGCAATCGTATTAGCATATAGTGCAACTTTACGGAATACAGTGCAATCGTATTAGTATACAGTGAAACTTTAGGGAATACAGTGCAATCGTATTAGAATACAGTGCAATTTTACTAGTATACAGTGCAATTTTAAGGAATACAGTGCAATTTTACTAATGACGTTGATTCCTCCGCCACGTAAATGATTAATAATGAGAAGTTTATTGCAACTTAAGAAGCCTTAAAGGCATCTAATGCAATTTCAAGGTGGCAAAACTGGAAGTAGACTTTGAAAAATCAGGTTTCCAAGCCCTAAAAACTGCATTGGATGCTTTTAAAGGTGCCCTACTGTACTGTACTGTACTGTACTCTACTATACTGTACTATACTGTACTATACTGTACTGTACTATACTGTACTGTACTGTACTGTACTATACTGTACTATACTGTACTGTACTATACTGTACTGTACTATACTGTACTGTACTGTACTATACTGTACTGTACTGTACTATACCTTACTATACTGTACTGTACTGTACTGTACTGTACTATATTGTACTGTACTGTATTGTACTGTACTGTACTGTACTATACTGTACTGTACTGCACTGCACTGCACTGCACTGTACTATACTGCACTGTACTGTACTGCACTGCACTGTACTGTACTGTACTATACTGTACTTTACTGTACTATACTGCACTATACTGTACTGTACTGTACTGTACACGACGTGCGGTGAATACGCCGCCAGGTCTGATACATCGCACGGGAATGCTCAACGGGAAGCGCATAATCCAAACTAATCGAAATCCAGTTGGCAAATCCCGGCGTCGGAAGACCATTTGGTAATAACAAATCCTGGACGGGCCGCTATTCTGGATACCCACACACCGTAAAACACTGGCCGGTAGGGCCACATTAAGGAATTTTTATGGATGACGGCCTCTGGAGACCCTAAAACCTTCATTGACACCCTGAAGCGGGATGCTGGACTCAGGGACATACCAACAGCTGACCTCCGCTCACTGATGGAAGACAGAGAGGAGTGGAGGAGAAGGACCCACTGTTTCCCTTGATGACATCCCTAAGGTGTCCACGTTCAAGAGAGAGGAGACCCTATAAAAACAAGAAGGGCCGGAAAAGCAAGATGCCTAGATTTGAAATATACTAAGTAGTGACAAAGGTTAGTACACAAATTTAATGAGAGAACACAATGTACCAACCAACAAGTATTTTATTCATCATGAAAACAGCAATAAATCAGTGGAACAGCAGTTGTCATCCTGTCCTGTTTTTTTTTCTAATTCAGAAAGTCAAACAAAATGATGATTACAAATGAAAAGACATGCACTAAGTGGCTGCGAACTCAAGTTAGGTACAACTTATATTCTCGCAGCCACTTTTACAATGAAACAAAATATTTTACAAGACATTAAAAATACATGAGACTTCGCGAGAGTAACAAACCTCCCATCCCAGAAGACACATACAGTTAGAATCTTTTTGTTTCTAATATATAATTTTGTGCGGCTAACATTATTTTACAGTTGGTCTCATACGAAAAAAGGAAACTACCGCGAAGAACTAAATATTGTATAGAATTATCAGAAAGGGTGTTTTAATCAACAATATTACCAAGTATGCTTGAAAGCTTGTCCTGTCCTGTTTCTTTCCTTTATTCACACCTTCCCTTATCCCACTGTCGTGACTCTTTGCTCATAGTTACAAGAAGCGAAATTTCTTGTTCTATTTTCCGGGAACAGGCCAAAATCAATGCCCGCGCGGACGTCATCCATAAGAAGTACTTGATGTGGCCTAATGGTACCGGCCTGGGATGTCAGGAGGAACGGAACAAGTCGCCTGATAGCAGCGCGAAGAAAACTAATATCGGGCTGACGTTGAGAGTTTGGCCGTGTTCATGTGAAGTCAGTGAAGGCGCTTTACATGTGGTTTACCCCGAAGCCGGTTCCAAGTGGCTCCATCTGAACGCTCCAAATCACATTGAAAGCGCCTCGATCCCAAACCACTTCTAGAGGTGGTTTCGAATCGGTTTCCCCGCATCGCGATTTGCGTCTGAACGCAATATGATTTCAATGTAACTTCGCCTGGTCATGGATTACGGGGTGATATTTCTTTATTCATATGCAATACCAAATTTTACGTGGCAGCCACTTAAGAGCAGTAATGGTCAAATAATGTGTCCGTTCTAGGCGAGCTTCACCGCCTCTGGTGGGACCACGTCGACATTCGGCCGAGATACACTGGGAGGGGGGCACCAGCAAGCAGGTCGTTGACGTCTGACAATAATAACACGCCACCTTGCGTGTTTTCATCAAACAACAATAAATATAGCTCAGGTGAATTGTGATCGGACACGGTTTCAAAGGAATGTATGGC